AAATCTTGAGCATTCCCAATAGGAAAATAAGGATAAAGCATTTGCCGTTGATCAATCCCTTTTTGGGATGCGGCACGCATTCTACTTCCATTTGTACATTCGTAGTGGCGTTTGAATGCGATGTGGCCTATACAATGACTTGCGGGGGCAAGTCAGTGTTTTTATCCTCCCAGACAAGTCTGGTACCAATTAACCGACCCCGGAGGGATGGAAGGCTTGGTTGGCCCGGGCGACTCACGACCCAGGATTTGATCCCGGACCGCTCGCGTGGTGAGCGCGCCACTTGTCACTACACCACTTCCGCCCTTTAGGATAGAACCGAGAAAGATCAACAACTAGTACTAATTCAAGGAATTATTTAACTTTCGTAACAAATTCGTTCAAAGTAATTAATAAAATCTGAATATGTGATTCAATATTCCTGTATTTAAGCGTAATAACTGCAGTAAATTCGACTAGTTTAGCATGTCTAAGTATTTCATGAGCTTCTACGCGTTGTATACTTCAAGAGCTTAGCCGTCAGCGTCTCAAACCAGTTGTGTTCGATGATCGAGCGCAGATGAAGAGTGGCGGTTGTTTTTGTGTAGTTGCTCATCAAGTGGTCTCTCATCCGCGCGCTCAGCTACCGGTCACTGTTGCTATGCAAACAGTACGAGACATACAAACCCTTATTCCGAGATGGTTACCGGGGCCAAATCCTTAGCGCAAACCGCTCAGTATGGTGTGTCTGGCAGCTAATGGCATGTTCTATTATGATGCCTAAAGGATTACACATGTCACAACACTTTGCAAAGAGCTTTCCGAGTAAATATTTTCAACTGGTGTGTAACTCTTGACATGCGACAAAAGGTGTCCAGGAGTGTCCAGGAGGGACCCACGCACACAACCATTTGGGTAATTGTAGCTGGAATTACCCTTTTGCTAATGTAAATTTATTCCGGTTAACTCTGTTTCGAAAGGTAGCACAAGCGAAAACCAGCACATACCAGCGCAAAATAAATCAAGGAATCGGATAAAAAAAACAGGGACAATGCGTTTAGGCTGCGAATGTCCAGGCTTCGGCTAGCAATAATTCGCTTTCCGTTTAGGTGCTGCTGTAGGTTTTTATGAGCTTCAATCGCGGTAAAATTTATCAGAAAAGCTTCCACATATATTTAGCTTACCTGGGTGGTTCACCCAGTATTCAATAATTTACTTCGTATTTCGTACTTTATTTCACGCCACATTTTGCTGCGATCGTTGGAGCCAAAGTTGAATTTTTGAAAGCAAAAGGAACAAAAAGAATATTTCACTTTGCCACACTTTACTGCGATCGTTGGAGCCGAAGTTGAATCTTCGAACCAAACGGAGCAAAAAAGATTGTACTTCATTCATTCTAGAAATTCTCAAATATTACTTTCACCATTGTGCCTTATCCTTCCTCCATAGCAGCCCTACCCTTCACATTCTGAGTCGGAACTTTACTGACGGGGAAACTGGTAGGAATCATGTGTATAAGGTTCACGTCAGTCAGCACTGCCTTCTCGCGTCCTTCTTCTCTAAGGATAGTCATATGGGCATGGAACTTGTCTATAAGATTGTAACAGTTCAAGATCGGTAGATTATAGTCTTGTAGTAATGATTCGTCAATGGTACCATTTCGGATATCAGGACTTAGCGAAAATGGTGAAGCACACTTCAAGTGAGACTCAATTTATGTGTATTGAGGTAGATATTCTTTATAATTCCTGATCACATATTGTTTCAGAAGTTGGTGAATAATAACAAATGCATCCCTGAGGTGGTGTAGAGTACCACTTATTAGGTGTAAAGAAAAGGCTCTCCCCTCAACTTAGTCTCTCATAACATCCAAGTAGGTCGCTTGAAGGAAAACCTATGGATGCTGGTGCTACCGCAAGATACGGGGCATTGTGGTAGCAATGCATTTAAAACCACGTAGGAACCCTTCCTTTTTGTTGAAATCTTGACTAAGCCTCAGGCGACAGAGAGACTTCATGGTATAGCAGTTTTCATTCCCCGCTCCCCAAATTTCTGCCCCTTCCTAGGCCGTCCTAGAAGGTGCCCCCGTATCTTGCGATAGCTCCTTTTTTAGACACTCTGGACATCAGAAACTCTTGCACAGAAGTCTATGATTTCAAAGGTCACCACGCAAAGTGCTCACCTTTTCAACATCTCGTTGATCACCCAAGCGCTACGCAACCGCACGCAGCACTTATCAACGGATTGCTGTTAAATAAATTATACATAACAATGTGCGAATTTTTCTCCTGCTTATTACTTGCACTCGATTTCGTCCTCAATTCTAGTATTTCTTATTCAACGCCTTCTTATATGGTAGCTGTACTAATAAACTGCTGAATCAATAGATTATTTTTTTTCCTGTATCGATTAGGATCGACAAATTCCTTGTTTTGGCATTCCTTATGCGCAACGACATGGCACTAATGAACGTCGCGATGTTGTGTTACATAACCAGATCGAGAGGGTAATATGATTGAGAGGAGCACGATGTTGACCTCAACGATCGTGATCGTCTTGATTAGCCTCTCGGAGCTATCCATCAAATCCGAGGTCCGTAACCATACTGGCGCAATGGAACTCGGGGGACTGGAAAGCGTTCTCGATTTCCCTTTATGCTTTTGGTACTTAATTTTACTAAACGCTGAGAAGAGAGTGATGAGCTCAGCAAATTGCTCAAGACGTCACAAAGAACCATCTTTTTTCTCAGAAATTTGCCTCATGTTGGTACACGTTCACTAGAAATTGGAGTTGATGATGGACTCAATCAAGGAGAGTTTAGCTAATCTGCTTTCAACTTCAAAAGACACTTCACAAGATAATTTAACATCCGTTCCTAGGGACCGGGATCTTTTCGTGTGTTTCTAACATTTTCGTAGGATCCCAACAGTAGTAATTCTCCAAGTAAGCAAAATTTGATGGTATAACCTATTTTCTGCAGTCCGTCGTAACTGCACATTCAGTGTTAATAGTACGCCTGGCTTCATGGTATCGAGAATATCGGAACTACAAATGGTATCGATTTTTTTGATGCCATCGTCACGCTGTTACGAAGTCTGCCAATTACGACCGGACGCCTGCGGGAACCAGAGGCATGCATATCGCGGGGTTTTCTGTCGAGAAGCTTACAACAGAATTTCTTTCAGTGTGCTTGACGAGGCTTGCTTGTTTGTCCTGTAAACGATGTAGCTTTGTGCGAGCAGAAAGCTTCTTTTTTCGACTTCCTACTGATTTTCTCAACGCTCCTAAACTGAATTCATAGAAACTGTGCATCTCCACGCTTTTTCTGGCGCGTCGCTTTAATGACAAGTTTTCTGATATATTTTGAATTAACTCTTGAATTTTATGTGCAAGTCGAGACTGAGAAATCCAAATTTTTCAGGATCTCGCGGAAAAACGTCGAGGTGTCAATCCATATGTGTTAGTGAACATGTCCAGCAGCGCGAGTTATCATGAGTTTCATTCATTACCCCTAACGAACGTGGACAATGCTCACACGAACGATTTTTACTGAGCGATAGCCGGAACGACTTGTGGTGTAAATCGACAGCGGGCAAGCCTCATTAGAGAATATCTGTGGGATTTGGAGGGAAAAAAAGTGCAATGGATGAAGGAGAGGGAGGAGGGAATGGGGAGGGGCCAGTGGGACGTAAACTAAAGCTTGTGTTGGAAGAGCGGCTGAAGTTGAACTTGTTGAAATTTGTGATTTCATACAGATAGGCAAATTATAATGAACCTTGAAAGTATCAATCGACCATGTGGAGCGGAGTCGTGGCAAGTCGCGCTCCTTACCACGCCCAGAATCGAATCCTAGGTCGTACCGGGACGGAGCCATTCAAGCCCCACCTTCCTCATTTATCGGTTAATTGGAAAAGAGCTGTTTGGAAGGCGAAAACACTAAATTGTACATCGGCTGACCCCGGCAGGTCATCATATAGGCGAAACCCACGAAAATGCTACTACAATTCTGAGTAGAAGTAGAGCGCGTGGCGCACTCCGGAGAAGATTGAGCAACGCCGAACGTTTTATCATTCTGCTCTTATGTACGGTATCAGCGATGTGGAGGGAGAGACAAGTAGACAAATGTATCAGCAGGAGCACTATCGAACCCTGGATCGAATTCCACTCCTGTCACCCAAATAGAGAAGTCTCCCAAAACTCAGTGACAACCCATTCGCTGATAGATTCGTCTATAAGATGAATCACAGATGTAAGAGATTCTGATTGAAAGTATAATGCATGGCGCATTTCAATAGTATCCTGTCCTGGAGTCCTGAAGTTCCTGAAAAAAATGTCCTGAAGTTAAGTATATTCCGTGAACTTCCAAATGCCTCACAGTTCTAACCATAAGTAGAAGTCAAATCCATGGTGCAACCCATTAGGAGAATAGCGAAGGTTGAAAAATTTTTATGAAAAAATGAAATGAAAAAAGCTGAGTTGGAATGAAATGGTGCCCCGGTAGCGTAACTGGTAGCGCACTTGCCCGGAAAGCGAGAGGTGCGGGTTCTAGTCCCGCCTGGGGCGAAAGTTTTGTTCACAACCCAGCATTCTTGTGAAAAATTTTATTTTCTAACAAAGTGCTCGCCTATCTTGAGCAATATCACTAAAAATCACTAAAACTACAGTATCCATTCGTCAGGAGATTTGATGTCAAATTTGCTTCTTTATGAGCTTGAATTTATTTATATTGTTAAAAATTTGGACCGCAATATCGACATTTTGAGAGAAAAGTAGCACATTATCACTGATTCTACTAGAGCATGTGTACTTTGATTGTGCATTGATAGATAAGATTTATGTTTTTGTTGAAATATCTGGTATTTTTAATCAATTTTTTGTCCTACTGTTGAAACATTTCAACAGGCTTATAAGTTTACCATTTTCAGGTGTCTGAAGAGGAATACACACACTGCTTTCTGCAAAACCCTCATTTGGTTGGCTCATGCAACAACAATACTCAAGACGTGAGGAACATTAAACTTACGAAGTTGAAGATAAAAATATTCGATTACGACATTTCAAAGGAGAGTAAAACCCGATCGTTCAGGTTACCATAACCGTCGTGTTTCGACAATTCACTCCAACACCCGGAGGAATGGAATTCGAACCTGGGAAAACGTATCATTTCATCAGTGAGTCTTTTTTTATCCAAGTATCGTACTCATGTACTTTTGTTCAAAGAACTCTGCAGAAA